TCTTTTTCTTAGTTCTAAGCATTTGGTAGGATGTCAGGGTGAGGTTATTGACCTGTCATAATTGTTAATTGAGTATTGAAACTGAAACTACTTATATATGAAATGGAACTAAATTTTTTTAAGTAYAAAACCTAAACAGGAAACGTAATTTTAATTTTATAAGAACCGAAACCTAAATATAAAAACCTAAAAGGAACCGAAACCGAAATTATGATTTTTTTTAAAACCGAAATTTTAGTTTTTTTTAAAACCGAAAAAAAACCGAAACCGAAATTTTAGTTTTACTAGGAACCTCACCGGAACCGGAACCGTAAAAATCATCAAGGTTCCAGTCCCTGGTGTGTAGACATGAGACTCATGAGAGGTGATCTATGGTTAAATGATTTCGCCTAAAGCCACATTGGTTGCTGGTGTTATGAACCCCTGGCTATATTAGTTAGTATATATTATATTATAATAGTAGATAATAATATTGTAAGACGGTGACTGTCCAGAAGGATGGCATCGTCAGCAATTCCAGGCAAGCGCTGGCTATAGTCACGGCTCGTATAGCAAGCCGTGGCAGTTGGATTCTAGAGTAGTAAGACAGAACATTGTTATTCTCGCCAGGACCTTATTTATTGTCAGACCATTTAATTCGTAATATTAACTCAGTTATTGTAATTGTAAGTTTTCTTTTCGAGTTTTAAATATAGAAAGTAATATTTAGTTCGGAAGTGTTCATTATTTTATTTGTGCACAAACCTCCTTGGAGATTCGTAAAACTGGGTAGAAGTTCAGATGTTTCAAGAAACCATACTAGGCATTTGTTAACCATTTTTTCCAAATGTTTACTTAGTGTGCTTATGAGGGAGCTTGGTCTGTAACTGGATAAGTTGAATTTATTTTTATTGGGTTTGGGAATCGGGATGATTATTGCATTTCACCATGATCCGGGTAGAAACCTGCTTCCCAGATTAAATTTTATATTTAAAGAAGTTAATTTATGCCATTGCTAGGAAGGTTTTTGTTAATAGAGTATGGGATATCGTCTTGTCCAGGTATTTTGCTGTTGCAGTTTGATCTAGCATCCAACATTTCAGAGGTGCTGAAAGACATGTTTAAGAAATTTGAGTGGGGATGAGATTCTAGCTCTGGTACGTTTGTGGTACCTATTCTTTTTAAAATTGTCTTTTAAGGTGGCGAATTCGGGGTGATATTTTTTAGTTTAGTTCTGAAAAACGTGTTAAAATTTCAAAAATAAAATTACTAAAAAAAGATAAATTAAGAAGTTAATAAAGAATAATTAAAGAAGATTTAAGCGTAACATTGTACTTAGATTTATTATTGGTTGAAGTGGTCCAGTATTTATGTTTCCTAAATCAAATTCTTTTTTGCTGAAGTCTGTTTCAACGTTTTCAATAGGCAAATTATCAGAATTATCTCTTACAACAGTATTTGATGCACACGCAACATAAAAATTTAAATCAGTAATTTTAGGACTAGGATTATCCACAGAAAATTTGTCATCATCTTGTTCATTGACAAGTTCTTTTGTACCTTATGCGTTATTGACGCTTTTTAATTTATTTTTAAAATTGAATATACCTACTAAACATTTTGATTTAATGATTTTAAAAAAGAAAAAACAAGTTACGACTTTTAAGCACAATTAATCATACAGTATAATTATTATCATTGTATGATAATTCACTAGCTGCTATTAATTTATCATTTCAAATTTCCCATACAATAAAACAAAATAATATTACACAACAGTGTTTTCATTTCTATTTTTAAAACCAAACTTTGGTGATATAGAAATGAAACGAGGAATAATAATTATTGGACGATCAACTGATGGGTTGTTAGGTTAGATTTAGCGATTCGGCGGTAGCATTCTTTTCATTGCACGGCGCCGAGCATCATCTGTTTTCGATAATCAGCAACAGCCAGTAGTTAGTGTAACAAAATATATGGTTGTAATATTAGTATATTCCATTTTATGTTAATTTTAAAGCATAAGACTATTAGCCTTAGATTAAAGAAAACTAACCTAACCTAGGGAGTAGGGGGACTGAAACACTAATCCCTTTAGTCCCCCCTCATTTTACGCCCATTAAAATCTTAAAATTTAAGCTACAATATAGTTTCCTTAAAATAAAAATTATAGTTTATGCTTTTTTATTTAATGTAAATAATATTTGATGTAAAATTATACATTTATACATTTTAGAATACTGGTGACAATAATAATGTTAAAAGAAAAAATGAGCGTTAATATAAAACTGGAAAATAGTTAAATGGTTTTCAGAGTAAATTTTAAGGTGAATCACTTAAATCTATTAAAAATCAATAATAATTGACGTATAGATAATAAAATTTAAAAAACTCTTAACATTATTCTAAAACGTTATCTGCTTTTTCTTCTTTAGCAACAACAAATAACTTTTGGGTGGTGAACGTCACATGCTCTGAAAATGAATGAAATTATTAAAATGGTAATAAAGTTAGTCAAAAGTGGTTATAATTATTATAAACTTTATAACTTACTTAATGAATTTTGAAACCACTCAGGCTTAGTTTTCCAAACTACACATATATAGTAAACTGGAATGCCTAACAAGGTGATGCCAACTCCCATGCCAACTTCAAAAGATCTTACGTAACATGGCAACGCGATCAAAAATAATGATACTATTACATATGTGATTGGGATCCAAAGAGAAACCTTTAGTTATTAACACAAGTAACATATAATTTAGATTGTAATGTGTGTCTTTTAATTCTATTATCGTACCTTGATTGGCCTGTTAATGTTTGGACGTTTCCATCGATTCCACAATACTAATGACACTGATAACATTGTGAAGAATGCCTCCACAATACTCGAATATGTTATAAGTTTGTTGACATCAGTTGTAAAAAGCATAAGTAATGATAATATGTTCTGAAACAATAATAGGTTATAAATTTATAATTATTAGACATCCCCCATTAATAATAATTATGATGTTTATCTTACCAAAAACACTAGAGATGGGATTGGTGTGTATCTCTTTACATTGATGTATGACAGAAACATTGGGAAGTGACCGTGTCGCGCTGCGACACAACACAATCTGAAGAATTATAAAATGCACAAATTAAACAACTAATTAATAATGTTAGCAAATCAYTAAATGTGTCCCTAATTGGACGAGTGATTTTMTTTTATAACTTATGAACTAGCTAAGACTTTAGTTAATATTATGTTTTCTGCAAATGAGGCATTAACATTTTTTTGTTAGAAAATAACTGTAAGTACTATTAGCCATATTGTTTGATGTTTGTTAAGTAGTTATTGTTACGTTAAAATTTAACTTGCTCAATGTAGTATTGTTATGTTGAAATTTAACATGCTCAAAGTTGTTCAAACTTCAGAATTATGGTAGGAAAAAAATTTCCAAGTTTTAATATCTGAACTTGTTAGTCTCTAATCATGGAAAACACGTAGTAATCATAACCTACCTAGACGAAGTCATGATGTTAACGCACAGACCACCAAATGCCGATAGGGAAACCATCAGCGGCATGATCCATTTAAATTTACCCATTGCCAAGTGACCAAATGTCTAAACAAAAACATATTATTATTATTATTTTGTATTAATCTATAACTGCATACTGGCACACTACATATTGCATGGTTAATGATTTGTCATAAAGTTTATTTACATAATTTGATAAAATACTAAAAGCATAGCTGGAACAATTAAATGGGCTAAACATACTTTTTAAAATTTTTAATTAATTCAAATCTATTATAATTTTAAATTTCTAAACTTTATGAAAATCTACATTTATAAATATCAGCTATTTAAACTATTGTTATTTTTTGATATCATACATATATTAAATAATAGTTTAGACTAGATGATTGAAGTAACAAGCATTCAAGTAGAGAAAACGTTGAATGAATGCAACGTTCTTAACAATCATTAGCATCTTCTCACTTATCTTCAAAGACATTTATTAATTAAGATAAATATCTACTTATTTTGAACATAGATAATATTGAAATATTTATTATTATATACGAGTTTTGATTACCTATTGATTTTTCCATTTCAATATTAATTATTAATTTTTACGGGCATTAGACATTTAAAATGAATGTTAATATTATTTTTAGTAAGTACATGGTTATGAGAACAGAAGTTGTGAAACTTGTTACGTACCTATAAAATATGTATAAGTGTACTAAGTGTAGCTATGACTAAAACTAATAAGCCATTAATATCAAAAGCATGCAGCGAAGGTCAATACCTAATAGGATCGGGGGAATAAGATATAACATTTATTAAATTATTTAAGTTTTTTCACACGTCTCTTCTCAGAACCTAACCCATGTGAAAGGATACGAAACGGTCAGCATATTAAGTTGAATCACGAGACCGAATTTCGACATGTACCTAATAGGAAAGTCGCCACCAATACAACCACCTCTCCTAAGGACCAAACCATATAATATATAAGAGAGACGAGAAAAAGAGCTCGTCAGACGGTTTTAAAATGTAAGAAATACGACGRTTAATGGATTATATTTAAAAGAAATTTTTTAAAAATATTGATTAGAACAAAAGTTATTTCATTTGTCAGAATGTCTGAGTTGTATTTTATTGGAAAATGTAATACATATTACTATATTAGGCATATTATAAATGAAAAATTAAATTATATCGTTGTGATAGCACTTACGACGGCAATCGCTTTAGTCGTGACCATGTCGTACGGCGTCAGAACGGCTAGGTATGCAACGTTGGCCAACACGTAGATAATGGTGACCAATGGCATGGAAATGTAAATGGCCCTGGGTAGGTTCCTATAAAAACAAAATCAACAGATCAACGTTATGTAGGTAATACCACTTCTATTCAGACAGATATCGCGATAAAATGCAAACCACGTGTTGTGTCGTAGTCAGTAGACAAAAATAAAAGATGGATTACGATAATGTCTCACTCACACGTAAGGGTTCCTTAGCTCTCCGGTCATGAAATTCAAATAGTTCCTGAAAATTAAAAAATATATATATCGATTATCAATGRGTCCATTGTTCCACGTAAAAATAGTAAAAACCCTAACCATCCTGAGTACGAAAATATTCCGGAATAAACGGACACAGCAAGTCTTCCGGGATCTGTGACCGATCCTTGCCAAGGGTTTATGAACTTGGAAAATCCGTCTGCACATAAATCACGGAATAAAACATCACTATCATAATTTTTGTTCAAACATTTATTATGGCATAATTCAATTCATACAAGCGTACAACTACGAGGGTTTGGGTTAAATTCCCACTTAAATTATTTTCACTACATAAGTACGTGAAAATGTATTTTAGATTTTAATACAATAAAATACATTATAAAATATGCTGAATGTGTATAATTTTTAAATATAACCTCTCCTCCTACATACACATAATATTAAATTCTTTGTTCGTCACTGAACATAACATAGGTAAGTACGTACATGTATATAGAATATAGATGTACTGAAGTTTCTGGAGCTGATACAAATCATGATGTAGGAGGAGCTTTCATATTCATTTTTTTGAAAATTGATCGCGTTCATTTCCAGTTTACTAAAAATAAACCCGTTTTATCACATCGCTGTTAATAGCCGTTTTTAACCTTAATATGAAAAATAATTTTAATTACATCGAGTCAATGAAATGCAATGTGTAAAATCATAATAAGTATTACCTACATCTTGTACTAATCAAATAATTAATATTGGTAATTTTCAAAATTCATTGTAAATAATAAATATGTAAGTATAATTGCTTTAGATGTCAATTRTGCAAATAAAAATTTTAACTGTTTAATGCTGATAGACTATAGATGCGAACCTAAACGTATACAGGGTGATTCATATAAGTATTAAGTGGGTACACTAATTATCTCGAAAAGTATCAACTTTTTAATTTTTTTTTTT